CTTTCATTAGAAGCTTGTAGCTCCATGCACTTAATACTGCTTGATGCCAAGTTAGAAATGTTGGCTTATTGGATTTGGGACTAAATAAGAAAAGAAGAGGAGGAAATGGGAGGATGTTGTGAATGATGTGTGTATAGAGCTGAGGACCTTGTATAGAGCTAAGTTCAAGGTACAACCCCGAAAAATTTTCTTACTCATTACCACTCAAACACTTCAATACAATACTTTTGGACTTAAAATTACAACAACATACCCCAAACTTTGGCAGCTTAATACACTTCAAATACCAAAATAAAAGTGTATGACTTCAAGATGGTCCTAAGACAATTTCCCACTCATAAAACTCTATAGCGATTGGGTTCACACTGTACAATGTGACTATAACAAAAGATTCAGCAACATATATGTTGACCTCATGTAACATAAACTTGAATTACGTAACTTTGAATTGCAAGACTCAGAAACACTAATTGCTACTTACATAAACATGAATCAAATGTGTGCTCTTAATCTAAAATTATGTAGAGCCAATTATGGAGCTCAAATTACATGGTTCACCACCAAGGATTTATGTACACCCCTTGAGTATGCCAACAACCAATAGCGTAAGATAATATATCCAAGTTTAGTAACATTTATGGGAAGTGAGCATCATGCAGCATCAATCCACACAGGGAATGCTCAAATCAATATACTCAAGAAAGAGGGGCTAATAAGATGAGCACGTGGGGAAAACTAGGTGGCACACCAATGACAGTAGAGGCATAATGGTGTGTGTGAATCAAGCATATCGATAGGTAAATTTTGACATAATGAAGGTTAATAAAAATGAGGTTTCAAACATGCTAGGAATGACTTTGGCATGCTGCTCTACTTATAGAAAATCTCAGAATTATCAACCTAAATAGCTCAAGTACGTGACTAGTTCAAGCTATGCGAAAATAATGTAGGAGAAGCAAGGTGTGCGGGCTATAATGATCTAGGCATGAACTATCTAAACAAAATCAACTTAAAGAGACCAACATGGGTGAGTTATCTTACTGTTATGGAGTGTTTACAACAAAAAGTGGTCCTTGACGTGATTTCTCAATAGCAAAGGCTCTTGGAAGTACTACACACCATATAGTTACAGCATGCTCATACAACTCCATAAAGGGGGGTGTGCCTCACTATTTTCTCAATTCTCTCTCAAGTTCTCTAATGGAAGTAAAGATGGGGGTGGTGTGCTTACCTGGGGTTCTCTCAAGGTCTCTTCTAACATATGAAAAATTAGGGTTTGAGAGATTATATAGGTTGGTGTTGTGGAGGCTTCAAGATCATTAAACTTGAACCATTAATTAAGGGCATCCAAGGGGTGAGAGAGAACGAAGATCCTAACCCTTCATCTCACATAATGGCTATTATAGGTGTGGATGAGATTTGGCACACCATAATCCTCTCTAATCCTAATTCATTTCCAAGTTTCCCTCTTGAATTTCAATTTGAATTTTCAAAACCCTAATTCTGATGCCAAATCACCACAATCCCTTCTCATGGTCAAAGGCCACAAATTAGAAGTGAGAATTAAATCTAGGTGGGGCGTGCTACCCTCTCATTCTCTCCCTTTATGTATTTGAATTTCAAACTTTATGCTATTCTCTCATAATGAGCTAGCTTAACACGTGTTATAAAAGCGTAAAAAAAAACCACGTGTTATAACCCACATCGGCTTCATAAGACTCTGTGTAATAACACTCTTGTGATCACCCATTTGCCACTCAAATTTCCCCACAGATGTTTTAGCACAATCTTTGATTGGTTTTTGTTGTTCTTGTAGGTTTGCTTTCGTTCTCCTTTGAAGTGCTTGGCCTTGTTTACGAATCTATCCTCATGCACTAGGGGTGTTTGATTTGGAGCACCTTTCGGCTCTTTGCATGTGCAATGCATTCTGATATAGAAAACACACAGTTTCTTGGCCTTACTGCACCCTGTAGTTAGCTCCTTCACCATTCTGGGCTTCAAATCTTAGTTTACTTTTCTTATATGTATCTCATTTTCCCATTTATTCAGATTATGGACAAATTCTGTTAACTCCATCCTGCCTGCTACTCAAGTATTATGCTCTCGATATCCTCTTTATTAAGTAACTATTTTGATCAGCCAAATTATTGTGATACTTTCGCATATGTGCTTGTACATAAATGCTTATGTTCATCTTCTTTTCTTATATTTCGTCTAGACTTAGTTGAAGATGTGGATCTATTGATAAGAAGGGCTGAGAGGTGCTTGGAAGCAGGGGCAGATATGATAATGATTGATGCTGATGGTGTGAGCAAATACGCAGACTCTCTTAGGGCTGATCTTGTTGCCAAGATTGTAGGGCGCCTAGGCCTCGAGAAAACCATGTTCGAAGCATCCACCCCTGAGACCTCTGAATGGTTCATAAAGCGCTATGGACCAAAGGTATGCATTTTCTCTTCATTTGTAATCGGTCAATTTCATGAGAGAAAAATGTCTCAATTAGCATTGTCTTATGTTTATAGGTGAAGAGTTTTTTTTAGGAATGGATCAGCTTGGGTTTCTCAAGTTCCAAAAACGTGGGGGTGTAACATGCGCTAAATTTGGATGAAAATCTGAACTCCAAAGTATATTAATGGAAAACCTTCAATGCATAGTGCTTATCATTGTCCAACCAAAAGAGATAAAGGAGGTTTTTCAGCCATCTACATATGCGAATCATCTATTAAATTAAACCCGGGTACTTGGATTCAGCAGCAGTTGTGCATGCTGTGCTGAGACAGTAAGGCTTTATTGGAATGGAGGATCAGTATGCCCCTATTGAATGATGAGTCATGTATTAATGGAAAAATAGGATTTGAATGGAAGCGAAAAGCAAAGAATCATTTATCAATTGTTCCAGATATAACCCTATTGCCCAAATTTTTGGAGGCAGTGTAGTCATATATCAGTGGGAAGGTAACTGACTCGATAGAAATTATTGGAATATCGTCTTTATGTGCTTCAACATCTTAGTGGAGAGAAAAAATAAAATAATGTATTTTAATTGGTTTTCTTTGTTTTATGCAGGTGAACCTCTTTGTTGATCATTCTCAGGTGATGAAGCTGGAGTGTCTAAGAGGAGGTAACTTGGGCAAGAATCACACATCACTGCTTGGTTCCTCCTATTTTCTGATGTGATTTTCAGGCAGTTACCCCTGTTTCCTTCCTCTGTTGTTCTGATATCAGTTCGTAAGAGTATGTTTTCATGTTATTTGTATAGTTCATTTACCTGTGGGGGCTTCCATGTAGTTGGTTGCACATGTCATACTGCTATGTATTGATAATTTTGGGATCAATTGTTCAGATCCCCAACTCTAGGATGTGTTCAAATCTTCGATTGTCATCAAATTATGACCTATGCCGTGTGAGAAAAGCCTCTATGTTGAGGCGCCAACTGCCCATACATCTGTGAATCTAGTTGTATGTACATAGATGGTCAATGATTCTGAAGCATTAAATTGGGTGTTTAGGCAAGAACAAGATTGATCAGAAAAACATGGGTTTTACCAACAGTAAATCACTTTAATTCCAAGGACACCAATGGAATTGCTCTATTGATAGAGGGGCAATTCAGGAAAGTGGAAGAGGGTGACTTGTTGACCAAGTCACGTATGGTTTTGGTATGGTAATAATGGATTCGTCTCTTTCTCCCATAGACGAATCCATTGGTCAATACCTTCTTTGCATAGTGATTTACTGTTGGTCAAGGTAGCGATTGACGGTCCATTGGTCAGTACCTTCTTTGCATAGTGGTGATTCACTGTGGTCACGGTGATGACTGAAGGTCCATTGGTCAATACCTTCTTTGCACAATGGGCACTTACCAACAGTTTCTAACTGAGTTCACCACCCTTCTGCTTCGTGTGCTTCCTATGATCGACCTATAGGGAACTTTTTGTATTTCTTCCATCTTCCTCTTGGTTGAAAGGATCTCTTGGCACTTTAACTCCGTGCCTTCTTGCCTTTCGGTAACTTTTCCAGGTCATAGATGTGATTCTTATGCAAGGATATATCTCATCTTGCATAGCTTTAACCAACACTCGTTTGTGTTTGTGGGCCTGACTTCCCAGTAGATTTCTGGTCCACCCCTTGCGGGGTAATTGGTAGAGGGTTTATGTCCACTAGAAGACCTTCTCAGTTCAACTGGGCACCTCTTGAAACAGGCTTGCTCCCCCTGCTCCTCATCACTCGAAACTGACATGTCAAGTCTTTGGACCCATCCTTTTGTTTCACTTCTCCCTCGTCTTCATTTACGACGGTGGAGGAACTATGGCTAGTTCTGAACCTTTGAAGATTTGTGGATTTGCTGCCTTCTTCACGTCTTCAGTAGTAAAGTTTTCTTAAAAGACCACACCCATATCCCTGATCACCTTCCTGTGCTCAGGATTCCACAGCTTACAGCTGAACTCTTCATTTGAGTACCCTTGAAGATGCATGAGTACTTTCTCATTCAACTTGGATATATGTTCCTTGGGCACGAGCACCAATGCCGCGAAACACTATCAAGTATGAATAAAAGATATCCTTTTCAGTCCAACCTCTCTAGGATCTGACCATCTAGAGGAAACAATAGGGATCGATATTAGGTAGCATGCTGTGAGGACTGCTTCACCCCAATATGGCTTGGTGGTGGATAAACATGCTGTTAAACTCTGAGACACTCTCTAACCCCGGGCTTTGGTGCTGTGTCAAGAGAATTATTCCAGTGTGTGCTGTATCTTGATTCCTTGTAATGTGGCTATAGAAAAATGAGCTATAGAAGATGAGGAGTAGGCGTCGTCTTCTACATCCCCCTCAGCTGGAACCACATCTACAATCTTTATCCCAAACCCAACCAGCCTTCTTCAAGATCTCTACCCAAACCCCAGCCCCTACCTCCCCCACAACCCTCCTCTCCCACGAGGGGATCCAAGTTGTTTGATCGGAAGGCTAAGCACGTTCTGCAGTCTTCCTCGTCGCAGGTGGTCGCCTTTGCAAACACAACCCTAGTTCCCGCTTCCTTCTCGCAGGTGTTGCCTTTGCAAAAACAACTCCTATATCCCCTGCCACACCTGCTGGTTCCCCCCCTCAGAGGAGTCTACTCTGCTCAAATCAAAATTTCTTGCCTCTCTAGTGGGTAGCTTCCAACCTAGACAAGACGATGTTAGAGGTATCGAAAGATGGGCCCAACGCCTCTGGAAGGACCTTAATCTCACTTGCAGACTCCTATCTAGTGGTGACTTCCTCTTCTCCCTCCCCTCGCAAGAACACGCTCGCCATGTTCTAGAAGAACCCATCTCGATGACTTTCAAAGGGGCCACCCTCCGTCTTCATGCGTGGTCTCCCAAGGAAGGGTCCTATAGGAAGCAGAGGATCTGGCTCACCATGGACCACTTATCACTTCCTGCGTGGTCACCGTCCACCTTTAGGAGAGTGGCAGAAGCTTGTGGAAATCTCATTTCTATCCACTGGAAATCATTATAAACGCTTCCTCTCGGGTCCATTCGACTCCTCTTGGAGGTCCTGGATACCAATCTCATCCCACCCATCATTTGGATTGAATTCAAGGACCTCTACTTCCCGAACTCGCTCTCGTGGTCTGCAACCTCTCCACCCGCAGCCAACTTCTTCAACCATTCGGATCATTCTCAGGCCAAGGGCTCCTCTCCCCCCCCCCTGGATAACCGTCTCGAGGAAATCTTGTCACCATAGGTGGTGTCGCCGGCAGCCCCTCACGGCCTCGCTCCGTCCAGGGAGCGCAATCGACCCAATCCTCCCAAACCACCACAGCCAATCACCTAGCGACCACGTGGCTATCTCTCCACCTTCTCTGGACACTGCGATAACCTTCCGCCAGCATTGCAGTCAGCAGGGGTACCTTTCCTGCTAGGCTCTAGGCCTGATGGCAGCGGGGTTGTCGAACCTCGTACGGCCACCCCTGTTCCAATTGTCACCTCTCCTAACTGGCCCGGTAAGGAGGTAATAATGGACCGTGAACCCTCCCCCCTATCCAGGTTGTCGAGCTTTTCTAGTGACCTCGGCCCGTCCTCTTCCAGGCCCGGCTCTCTCTTGGTACCTGGGGACCATGCGTGTCTGGCTCTTATTCCTAGTACCTCTACTGCGGGCTCGACACTTGCCTTCGCCGGTCCTGCTTCCCCCCACCCTTTGCTTTACCCAACCGACATGTCTCCTGTTAGGCAGCCTCCTCCTTCACACCTGTCGCCTTTGCTTTACCGACCCTCGCCCCTGTCTTCCCAACCTTTCATCATTACCGACTCCTCACTGCCCCTATCCCCTCACAAGCCGGCCCCCTCACCTACCATGTCATCACACCAGACGCCTTCTTCACCTACCGTCCATCCTTCGCCGTCTATGGAGGAGCCACCTATTCACCCCCGTCTTCACAGTGACGACACCTCGTCCCCCCCTGCCTCGAGATCTCAACTTCTCGAGTGCACCTATTGTTCCCCTGCCCTTGACATAACCCCGCTCCCCTTCTCCCTTACCCTCTTTTACTGCCTCTTTGGTTGCCTTATCTTCCCCCCTTCGTCAGGCACCATCTTCTAGCCCACAGCCTCTATCCTCCCACTCTGAAACCTCTCCCCTCTCTGAGGACCTTTACCTAGAGCCTGCCGTTTCGAACCTATACCCACCCTCTCCATCTTTGTCTCCTGAGCATCGTCCTTCTTTACCCTGGCCTTCTCCTCCATCCTCTATTCCCCCTTCCCCCCGACCTTTTTTAGCTTGACCTTCCTCCCCCTGGACTTCCCCATAGAGGTTGGACTAGTCCAGACATTCAAGACCCCTTCACCAAATCTTCCTGATATGGACAGACCACAATTCCCTCATGGTATAGTAGCAGTGCACTCCCTTGACCCTTCTCCCGCTGACCCGACCTTTATCTCATCGTTGCTCATCGCTCATCTCTCATCTCCCCTATACTCCGCACCTTGTACACATCTGCCGGGTTAGATTTCTGCACCTCACTTACCCAGCTTCCTTCCCTTGGCCGTATTCGTCTCTTCCCTCCACCCAAGCCCACCACTTTCTTACCTATCACCCTTCCCCTCTGTACTTTGGACCTGACAGCTCCTTCAGCCCTGCGCCTTACTACCCTATTTCGCCCCTCGTCTATGCCCACTTCCCCTTTTTCCTTTCTTCGCTCCAGGGCTCCCTAACCTCAGGTCTGCCTCTACCCACGGCTCAACCCCAAGACAATATGCCCAGCCCCCTTCCTTCCCCCTCTTCTTCCTTCGACACTCCTCCAACCCCCCCTGAACTTGCTGACCCTCCTATCCCCTCCTCATCTCCTAAACTTGAAACTCTCCCCGCCTTGCCTCTCCTCGATCAGATACGACAGATCCCCCTTAGAGGGACGCCCACCTACAACCTCCTCGCCCTCTCTGAGGAGGTCCGATTGTCTCCTCTCTTGCCCCACCCTTAACCAATGAAGATCCTAACATGGAACGTTAGAGGGTTGGGACAGGAGTCTAAAAGGGACACTGTCAAAGACCTAACCTTTAAACACCTACACTCGATCTTAGCTCTCACCGAGACCAAAAGGTCGGAGCCCACCCTCCAACTCTTTCGCCGTGTTTGGGGTAGAAGGCCTTGCCAGTGAGCCTCCTTGCCTGCGGTCGGGGCGTCAGGTGGAATATAGGTGATTTGGAACGCAACTGAACACCACCTCCAGTCTTCCCATGTAGGGGAGTTCTCGATCACTGTCCTACTTTCTCGTACTTCAAATGGCTTCCCTCTAAAATTCTCTGCCATTTACGGACCCAACTCAGCATCGCTCAGGCCTTGCTTCTGGGCTGAATTAGACCTTGTCGTCTCCCTACCTCACCCTGCTTGGTGTTTGGGAGGTGATTTCAACATTACTAAGTGGTCCCATGAGAGAAACCTAAATCCCACCATTGACTTCTCGGACTTTATTTCTCGCCATGAACTCCTAGATACTCCCCTCCAAAGGCAATCGCTTTACTTGGTCTAACCACTCCTCTCAACCATCCCTCTCAAAGCTGAATCGATTCCTCCTATCTTTGTACTGAGAGGAAAATTTTCCCAGATCCTCAAAACCTGGAGCAAGTCCTTACAAGGAAACTACTCCCAAACCAAATGCTCTATGCTCAACTCCATC